GACCTTGCTTATTGTCACAGCACGACTGAGAAAGGAGTCAGGAGTTGACTCATTTCCACATTCTCAAGCCACTACTCTTTTTTCGCTATCACAATGACTCTTTGGAGAGTGGAGATAGCGATGGGCATGGGATATATTCCTTCTTACATGTGTATGGTCACGCCCATACGTGCCCCACCATACTAGTGCTCTAGAGCACCTCTGATACCCATCACTGCCTCATGCACACTGAGGAACACGAACTGCTGGGCTGAGTATCACAAAACCTTGATATTGTCAACATAGGAACAAATTACAACTGGTTAATAACTAATGAATGAGATTCATAAAAGTCTTTTTCTTTTTGGTGGTACTGGAGTTGAACTCAGGGGGCTCCCCTTGCTACCACTTGAGCCATACCTGCAGCCATTTTGCTTTAGCTTATTTTTTCAGATAGAGATCTGTTTGCCTGGGGCCAGCATCTGATGGAGATAATCCTACCTGGGATCACAGGTCTTTGCCCTCATATTTGACTTACTTGTTGAGATAGGAGCTTGCTAACTTTTTGCCCAGGCTGGCCTTGAACCGTGATCCTCCTGATCTCCACCTCCCAAGTAGCTGGCGAGCCACACTGTAATTGGCTTAATGTAAGTCTTAACTGATTTTTCTTCAAGATGTTAATTTTTTTTCTTGGAAGTAAAAACTGAGATATTAATTGTATGTTTCATTTATAGTAACAATTTTCCATAGCAAGGGCCACTATGACACTAAAAATGTCTTGTATTTTCACTAAATGTTATAATCTGTTGGAGTTGCATCGGTTCACACTAACTTCAGAAAGGTTTTACATCAGGACAATGTAAAAGTAAAAAGCAGAATCATAACTGCAAAAAGCACAGAAAACTTTCAAACTCATTTTGTTAGTATCTAAAATGACCTAGAGACATACTAGAAAATCCTCATAGATGTGCCTTTCAAGTATATGCTCATGAAAAGTTATTTGAAATATTGAAACATATAAAATTCAACGAGAGACCTATGAGCTCAGGAATTCTTAACCTAAGTTTGTGAGAAAAGGATTCCTGGACAAAGTGAGTTTGAAGAAACATCAGACCCTGGATGAACAGCATGGTTTAGGAAGGGAGTCTCCTGGGCAGAAGGAGCTCCTTCCTTATTTGATAGGGATCTTGATAAAGTCTCCAAACATCTACGATCTTCCCTACTGCAAAATAAAGGGTGCTGGATCAGGCCATGCCTAAGGGTAAGTCTAGGTTTGGTGAACATTTTTAATACACTTAACAGCCAAACCTAGTAAGTACTCTCAGCTAAGTAGAAAGGAAAAACTGCAAAGTGCCATCTGGTGGACAGATGAATATGAAATGCCAAGAGATGGTAGAAAAGGATTTCTTGTCTGGGCCACCTCTCAAACCACCAGCATTCATCTAATAAATCCCTCATTCGTTCATACAAACATAAGTAATCAATGTGTTTCCATTATGTGTCATATTTGGAGTATATAGGAACTAATCTGAAAGACATGCATTCATTGCCTTCATAGATTGTATAGTCTACCAGAGTAAATTAACAGTAAGCAAAGCCTTATTTCATTACAGTGGAATTTAATGCCACAAAGGAATAGTAGATAGTAATACGATGATCTACAGGATTAGTGCACACTCCAATGAAGAAAAGATTCCTGAAACTATTCTGATGAAGCTGAGACCTGAAGGAAAAGCAAGTATTAGCCAGGTAATAGTAGGGACAATGACCCTGAGAAGTAAAGAACAAAGCCAGTTGTGGTTGGCTCAAGATAAGGAAGGAAGAAGGAAAACCGAGGCAGACATGCATAGCGCATGAAGGGTCATTTAGGCAAGTTTGAGGATTTTTCCATATTTTTCTTAGCACATTCTATTTTCTTATCCTCCCCTTTAAAAAATCTTCCTTGCAATTTCAAAAACTGGGTTTCACTATGACTTTTTCATATATGCAAACAATGTATTTTGCTCATGGGGGGGCGGGATATGATCAACGTTTAAGGATTTTCACCTTTATCTAAAAGGCAGCAGAACATAATCAAAAGGTTTAAAGGTAAGGGTGACTTGCTTCAAGTCATGATTTTAAAAGGCACTCTGATTGCTTTGTAAGGGATGGATGTGGGATAAAGCTGAACGGGGGAAACCAGTAGAGAAGCCACTCTGGATGTCCAGGTGAGAGAGGACTAGATGTCCAATACCTTTGCCAGCCTTCCGTGGCTGCTTCTATTCCTTGCTCACCCATGTATCACCCTAATTTATTCAATAGAGTGACTACTGTGTGCCAAGCATTCCCATTTAGACTCATGGGCACAAGTGGCAGAGTCAGTACCATGGCAGTTCTGTAAGGAATTACCAGTAGAAGCCCATTCCACCTCTGTTAGTTCCTTCTATGGCTAGACAGGCCATAGCAATAAGTCATGATGTACAGATTCATCAACTCATTCAACAAGGGAGACCCTAAACATAGTTATGGCAAGATTCAGAAGTTTATCCTAACAGTTTGGGCTACTTTGTTTCTCTGACTTTGAAGGGCACAGGTTAAGTAAGTAGAATCCTCTCCCTATAATGAGCTGAGTGAATACAGAGGATAAATACAGGGGGAAGGGCACTTCCCCTACTGTTGTTATTGTGCAATTGATCCTCTTATTGCACACTTGAAGGCTGTGCATTAAAATACCTCTGTTCTGGGCTGAGATGTAGCTTGGTGGTACAGCGCTTGCCTAGCATGAGTGAGGCCCTGGGTTTGATCCCAGCACCGAAAAAGAAAAGACAAAAAAAAAAAAAAACAAAAAACCTCTGTTCTAAAACTGTATGGTGGTGACAGCTGTATGATTATGTAAGTATGTTAAAACATTTAATTGTATACTTTAAATGGGTGACTTGTATGACATATGAGTACCATATAACAACTCAATGAAGCTGTTACCAGCAAACTACTTCTTTCTTAATGATCATATTAATGAATAAGTGAAGTGACAGTAAAGTGTGCAATAAATGCTGTATTAACTGACATAGCCATATTGACCAGCCAACAAATCCCTAACAGTGATAAGAAATAAAATCTATAAAGCTTATATTTTCACCACAAGCTCCTCCATCTAAAAGCTAAGCAACACTAATATTAAATATATATATATATATATATTTAATATATAAACTCTCAAAAAGAGATGTCTTTTTTGAACAAAGTTGGTTGGATACAAAAGAGGTGAGGAAAATACTGAAGTTAATTTCTTCTTTATGTTCCTCCACTGATTACACAGGAAACCTGACAGCACACATCTCAAATAGGCCTTAGACTTCCATGATTCCAGACACTCAATGAACTGTCTGACCAGATGGCCAGGTATTGCTGCTCTATAGGGGGCCTCTCCCACTCTTCTCATGGGGTAAACTGTAAAAGGATAAAGGCTACAACAGAAAATAAGTGGCCCTTAAAATGCCATGGATAATTGTAAAAGTTCACTGGCTCTACTGAATCTATATTTATAATGTTACAGACAGCAAAGGGGGCTCTTTTCAGAAGAAAGGTAGTAAAGGTTGATAGTGCTTAAAATAGTCAAGGTCTTGGCTGAAAGGCAACTGGAGGCTCACATGAGAAGGAATGACAGTATGATTACAGCATCTTAGAATTTGCAATAGCAAAGAAAAAGTATTATGGGCAAAAGCAGATATAAGCCCTGGACTTTAAGCACATTAAGTTTCAAAATCTTCACTATGAAGACCATTGCTGGGGATGAGACAGATGCCACACCTCTCTGTGTGGGCACTGCAGGCTTAAGAGGCGGCTTACTGCTAGAAAAGATGAAGCCTGGTTTACTTTCCTGGTGAGAACCAGGAAAGGAGTTGAACCTTTATCATCTCTCTGAGACACCATTAATTCAAAGACTGTGTCAAAATTAGTCATTTTAACTAAAAAATAAACCACTACCACTTACTCTCAAGGAGTCTGTAAAATATTTATACTAAGCACTGGCTTTTGTAATTTGATCAGACACATATCTTAATGAAAACATGATCTTGCTGAATATGAAAAATTCACCAACAATTGAAATTTTCACTTTCTAAAAAACTTGTCTGCTACACAAAATTAGTGAGGGCATACATACTAACTTTATTAATTCCAATCCAGTCTATGCCTCAAGAACATCCTTTACTTGGAAGCAATAATAGTCACAGTAAATTGCATAGTCATGTATTCAAACTTGATGGTATTCTCCTACTTGCTCTTTTAATCTATTAATATAGGTTCCAGATTACTCCTATCACCACCCATTCCTCCAAATATCCAAATTGTGAAAAAAGCTAGAATTTAAGGGATTTAAACCCATGTCTACCTGCAAAACCAATGGAGCACACCAACTCTCTCAACTCTATCTCATGTCCCCTCTTTAGAGCAAAGGTTGTACACTCAATACCTATAAAGGCCAGGCAAATAGCATCTCTGAGCAAAATGGCAGTTAGTGTACATACACACATTTCATAGTTTCATGAGTGAAACTATGGGGAGCTGGAGAGGAGACTGAAGGAAAGAGGAACAGCAACTGTTTTTGGTTCCGATGATTGCTATGTGTGTTGTTGCAATCTTAAGAAACCAGATGCTTAAAATTTAATATATGTTCCTGAACATATACATGTGAATCCAAGTTAGTTTGTCTTTAGCGCACTCTGTAGGTCAAACAGGTCACTAGCTCTCAATCTTTGTTAAGGTATTGTTAGCATCTTTTGAACAGAAACTCATTTGATATGCTAAATTCTGCAGATTTATTTTCGTTAAGTGTTACATCACTCTTGGGATAACTGAAGCAGAAGGTTCATTAATACCAAGGGTGCTCTGTTTTTGAAGTAGCCCAAATGGACTCATGAACTAATGTCATGCAAGGCAGAGTTACTCACTTATGATCACAAGGTGCTTTTCTTCCCAGGGGCTCACAAAACAAAATTCTTTTCTTTCCCATAACAATTCTATCCTGAGTGGTTTCTTACCCGTTTGTCAATGTCATTGTGTTGAAGCTGCACAAAGCGAGCGCTGATGGCTGCAATGTAACTCTGCTGATTAGAGAATGCCACACGGCCAGCACCTTTGGGGTACTTCAGCTCTGGGTCTGTGTCAATGCCAGCATAGCAAACACCACCATACAAACGGTCCATAATCATTGCCAATTCAACTGCAAGAAAATAAACAGGGATTGGGATAAATACTTGGTAGGTACTCTTGCCTTGCCTGGGAGAAAGGAAGATCATACAATGTAATTAAGAAAAGCATCATGAAGAAGGTATACATTAGTGTTGTTACTCATAGGATGCTTTAAAATAAAATGAAAAAAAAATTTGCACACATCACAACCAGAACTTAAAGCAGTAGTATAAAAGAAATGATCTATGAGTAATTCCCCTGTTCTAATTTTTAACTGTTTAGCCCAATGGAATGGGCCCTTAGTAGGCAAAGCATTTCATTATGCTCTAACAAGTTATTAAGAGACAATTCAGCTAGGCATGGTGGCTCATGCCTGTAATTCTAGCTACTCAGGAGACAGAGATGAGGAAAATTACAGTTTGAGGCCAGCCCGAGACCCTATATCAAAAATACCCAACACAAAAAAGGGCTGGCAGAGTGGCTCAAGTAGCAGAGTGCCTGCTAGTAAGTGTGAGGCCCTGAGTTCAAACCCCAGTACTGGGAAAAAAACAGAGAGAGAGAGCACAAAAAGAAAAAAGAAACAGTTCTAGGGCTGGAGAGTGGCTCAAGTTGTAGAGCATCTGGCTTGCAAGTGCAAGGCCCTGAGTTTAAACTCCAGTACTGCAAAAACCAAACAAAACCAACAACAACAAAACACTTCCCTTTAGTGACCTCTGACTGAAATCAATTACTAAAGTCACATTGTTATATTAGGATTAAGCTATAGAATCAACTCCTTGTTTTATCTGGATATAAGGTATATAGATTTAAAGTAAACCTCTATTAATAAAAAATATTTTTAAAAGTATATTCTATCTCAACTGAGAAATTGCCATACTCACCTCTCCCACAGAACACTAGTACTGATAACGACAGCAATGGACATACAATGTGCCAGGAGGTACTAAGCTACTACATGTGCAGTTAAAAGCACACCCATCCTGCACCTTGCTATAGGTCCACAGGTCTGCACTCCTTGCCATGTTTCTTGCCTTTATATTGGTATATTTGCAAAATGCTTGTAGATAAGGCATCTGGAAGTCAGACTATTCCAAAGGTCTAATATTAAAAAATTGTTCCCACCATCAAAGTACCATGTAGAGACTTTAGCACTTACCTGCTTTGCAAATTGCCTGAAGGTAACTGTTTACTTGAAACTGGATAACACCTCCTCCAGCTACAGCCATTCCTTTCAGGCCATAGTACAAAACCAAAAGATTCAGCTCTACCCTTGGGAAGTGGCCCAAACACCCATTTTCCTCCAACACCTACATATGGTATTTGGAAAGGAAAAGACAGGGAAGATAGACAATGACCTGCACCATAGCTGGTGAGCAAACACTATCACCCAGAGAACTCCACAGGAATCTGTATCTGGGAGAAGGAAAGCACCACAGCCTCATGGGTCGGGGAAAAGTTCTGCAGTTGAAGGGCTGAATGGTATTAGAATACACCTCCCCACCCCCCAAATTTATACAAGGAGAAGGAAAGTCAAGTATTGCTGGTACCTCTAACATAAAACTGCAGAGGTGGTAAGAAAAACTGTTGTCATAAAACACTCTTTTTTTACTTAACTTTGAAATTGTTTTCTATACCAGATTGCCTAATATTGGTGATTATTTCTAAGAACCTATTTTTAATAGGAAGAATAACTCTTAACCAACAGGTAGTTTTTTTTTTTAATGGTACTGAGGTTTGAACTCAGGGCCTATGTCTTCAGCCACTCCACCAATTCTTTTTGTGTGTAGTATGAGTGTGTGAAGAGTTTTGAGATTGGGCCTTGCAAACTATTGGTCCTCTGCCTCCCGAGTAGCTAGGATTACAGACGTGAGCCACCGGTGCCCAGTTCTATTAGGTAATTTTCAAGGGAGAAAATAGCTAGCAATAACTAGCCCAAGAGTAAGTGCTGTAAGTAAGACAGAGGAGCAGAAAGCCAGCCCAATTATCCCATTATAGTCAGAATTACTGAGTCACATAAACCAAGAGAGCATACTGTTTAGAGCCAAGTGGACTCTACTGCTGTCTTGGGGCAGGACCCAGGAATCCCATTCTTTCAAACAGTGCAACAAGAATTGTGCCCATAACCTGAATACCAAAGTTCAGTTGTTCCTCATACTTCATCCCCAACAACCTCTGATGGCTTAAGCTTCTCCTCATATAGTTAATGTTATTCCCATAACAGAGAACAAGAATCAGAAGGGAGAACTAATTGTTAATTGCAGTCATTAATGAATTTCTCTTATTAGTCACATGGGTTTAGTAAAGTAAGTGATCTCAGGGCCCTAGAAACTAAATACTAATTTTCCAAAGACCAGGTTTCCTCCGGGATAGAAAAAAAGAGGGAACACTTCCTAAGCCTGGTGAGTGGCCAGGAAAAGAATGCTGGCAAAGGATCAAATGGCACATGTCTTCCACAAAAGGAAGGAGATGAGAAAGCATCTGATTTTGAAAGAAAGTACACCAGCTGTAAGCTTTAAGCTTCAGTTGAGGAGGAGTAAACTGTAACCACAGGTTCTTCTACACCACAGTGGTCTCCAAAGGAAACTTAGGATTCTAATGAAGGTGCCCTCCAGAGCACAAGCATGCAATCACTGTGTGCTCTATCTGCTGGAAAATCATCTTCATGATTCAATGATGAGAACGAGACTGACATTGCTGGCACGCAAGGACTTTTGATAGGAAGGAGAAATCTTCACTCACTTATGATTTTATGAAATTGAATATAAATAAATATTTTCATTTATGAGCTTAGATACAGTCATTTTCTTGGCCACTAGAAAATCTGCAGACATTTGAGCCAATAATGCTTCATTCAAGGGAAGGGCAATTTGCTGAGAAGCTGGCAGAAACCAAGGTGACTAAAGGAGTTGTTTAGAGGAGATGAAGAAATTTTCCTATCTCTCTGCCTTAATCTCTATTTTAACTACATAAGTCTAATATTATGATCACCTTTGGGATAAAGTAAATAGCAGCCAAAAAAACCTACTGTTTATATTTGGTCTTTATTCAACCAGTAAGTACCATGGAACATACTTCCTGTAGGCTGAACTAGGTTAAAACACCAGAGGACTGCCATGTAAGTGCTAACCAGAGTTTCTAGTTATGGAGAAAGAACAACCACTTTTTCAATAAATAATCCCCTTTTCAATAAAATATTATAAAAACAGCACTGAAAAAAACAACTAACTTAATCCACCCACTATGTATAGGTGACCAAAAGAAACACAGAGTAAACCTTTCACAAGTCCTATAAATTTCCAATCTGAGATTTCAAATTTTGTAGAAGATATAAAATTATTGACAAATGTCAGAATGTACAGCTACTTACAGAGACTAGGTTTTAAATGGTTCTTTAACATGAGTATCATTAGTTAATATATTTCCCTTCCTCTGACAGGAAGAAGTAGAGATAAGAACAGAGGCTACCATTTTGACTTCTTGAAGGATGGATAGAAAAACAGAAAAGCAGTAAATGTCTGGCAAGAGTCAACTAAAATCTTCATGAGTTCATACACATCTTGTGATCTCAACCCTGCTCATGAAATCTGAGTCCTGGATGAAGGACATATCTTACTGGGAATGTGGTAAAGCTACCCACTAAGCCTATGCCAGTCAGTCTCATTCTACACCACCCTCTGTAGAGGGAAGGGACAGAGTAGTTCCCAGGAGCACGTACCCCAAGGAAGACAAGGGCACCAGAGCAGGGCATACAGGTAAAGAAGTCTGGAGTTCACACAACTGATAGGTAAAGAGTTTACAAGGAAGTCAGGATGCTCCAAACCACTTTTTTCCCCGCTTCCTATCCAGACATAGTTCTCTGGGTCTGTCTGGTCACCACAGGGTGTGAAATTGACAGATCTGGTAGTCACACCCAAGGGTATTCTGTACTATGGACAAGATGCTCTGTACTCCTAAACTAACTCAAGTTGTCTCACAAACAACACTACTATGAGTCTAATCCCATGCTAGCTCATTGTGCCACAGATTGGAGAGTATCGCTGCATGAATCATGCATCATCCCCACAAATTCTCATTTGTAGTGACTATGCCTCTGAAGTTGAATCTGAACCCCAACTATGGTTCCTTGGATTTTCTCATTCTTCACGGAAATGTGAAAAGGACCTTAATTCACCAGAAGGGAAGCTATGATTCCACAACTCTTCTCTACCTTAGGGTTCTGTTCTATTATTTAATTATATTTCAATGCCAAACCTTAAGGCACTGTGCAAATATGGGATACTGAGAGCCAAATGGGGTGGCAAAGGAGCAAGGATTTTTGAGGGAAATATCAACACATTCATGTTTACACATTCTAAACTACAAATCTAGAAGTCCCATTTCTTCTCTTCAGAAATAAGGACAAAATAGGGGGAAAAAAGGGCACCACAGGATGACAAAGAAACCTTAATGGTGGACTTCCTAGGTTTCCCACAATTGCTGAGTTGGATTACAAAGGCCATTCACACATGTGCTTCCATTCTTTATCAATGTTGGGAAGTTAAGAATATTTTTAAATAGATGGTATAAACATCCAAGAGTGAGACTGATAGTGTTTAACTTAATTAAATCATACCAAGATGACTGTTGTTCTTTAGACAATAGCCCAGATCTCAGCTTGATAAAGCAGCTTCTTTCTGTTCAAAAAAACCCTAAACTCAAAGTAAGAAGATCTAAGAAAGAATCCTGTTCATTTAACTTACTGGACCAGTTACTCCATCTGAAGTCTGCCTCCTTCTCTTTAAAATGCAAAGTCTATTGTCTACAATCAAAAGGGCTTTCATAAAGGTTAAACATAAACGAGAGCTCTAAGTACATTGCCCAGTACAGAGTGGCACTCAAATGTTTAGTTTTGTCCAGGAGTTTATCTACGCCCCCCCCCATCACTACTAATAAATCTTTGCTTAACATGAAGTTGACCTGGTTTCTGTTCTATAAGGACCAATTCATCCCAATCTTACTTTGGCTGTATGCTAATGTTTCTCAATCTGTCACTGATATGGCAAAGTTTGACAGCAGCTGTGGGTAATCGGTTTGTTTGTTTGTTTGTTTTTGCGGTGGCAAGGAGGGCAAGGTAGAACAAAAATACATACCAACATTAGAAGGCCTTAGCCCTAAAGGCAATGCAGTTAATCAAGCTAGTAGGTCAAATCATTTTCATGAAATATTCATTTGGGACATTTCATAGTGAACTTGGGACTGGGTAAAAAGCTTCTACTGTTGAGAAACTTGATATAGCATGATATTTGGCCTGCTACCACTTCACAGAACAAAAAAGGATATGTTTATAATACTCCTATTTCCTAAATTACAAATCAGGATACAATTTCCAATTCATGTGAACCAGAATGTTTATACATAATGTCTAAAATAAATCCTAGAAATATTCAGGATAGATGTTCTCACATATATAAATATGATATATATCACTCAATATTTCTATCTCAGAAGTTTTTGCCTCCCAGGGCTGGGGGTGCGGCTCTGTAATAGAGTGCTTGCCTAACATGCATAGTGTCCTGGGTTAAATTCCCAGCACCAAAAAAAAAAGTTTTCACCTCCAACAGAAAAGCCATCCTCATAACAGTCACAGCAAGGGAGGAGAAGGCAAAGAAAATTAAAGAAAAAAGGAAAGAATTATCAGAGCAACAGTTAGGAAAGCCAGAAGAACCAAAAATGAATGAGCAAATGGTAGGCTCCAGGGATTCAGGAGAGCAATCTCTCAAGATTGATTTGTTCTTCAGGGCCTTCTCTGATAATTGCAAGAAGGAAGTAGTGAAGTGGAAGACCACTTTACATGCCTCTAATTAAAGAAAAAGAATGAGGCTTTTCAAGCCTGATCAAGGCTATGAGTGGATGAATCCCAAAGCTTAGTCACTGAGGCAGTTCTCTGACCTGATGACTAAAGCAAGAAGATGGGGTCAGAGAACCATGTTAATAAACCAGGGTAGCACATGAGGGCCAGACATTTCATCCTTTACTTTCGCTCAATGTTCTCCACCTATGCCCCAAGTCTGGCACTTATTTAATATTAGAATGAAGAAATAAGCATTTGGGGGGAGGTTCTAATGCCATAAGGATATGTAACAAGGCAACTTCTTGGACATTCAGGAAGAATTATTGCTCATATATTGAAATGAAAAATGGCAACATTCTCTTATGTTCCCAGGTGGTAGCAGACACAGAGGCAGACAAACTGTCCATTTCCCTGTATTGACTCTCTAAAGAGCATGCAAATTTGAGCCAAATGGTGGCATGCTGAGTTTACCTACAGCCTTTCCTGGCAAGGGATGAGTGAGGTGGGAGTATATACAGAGAAATCCGAACCTAAGAAACAACAGACTTTAGGCAAATCATACTTGACTAGTTACTGTCACTTATGCAAGTGACAGGAGGAAGGGACAACAAACAACAGGAATGTATATTATTTGACATAGACCATAATCAAGTGATAAGAAAGCTCATCTAGATCTAGATTTTTTCCGTTGACAGTTTCCCATTTTCAGGTTAATTTTTCTACGTCTGTGATTTTTTTTTTTTCCCAAACTGGAATTTTAAAAAGGAAAGATTGTCAAGGGGCAAGAAGAGACAATTTAACAAGCAACAGCCCAAACGCAGTCAGGACAATATTGTATAAAACAGATTGTTTTGTTTCTTTATAGAGATGACTGTGAAAATTCCAAGATACTAATGTAGATTATCTAGTCACCTAGAAACTAGCTACACTTATGAAAAGTGCTGGCAAGGGGGGATATTTCCATTAGACTAAGTGATTTCAGATTACTACCTACATCACTACAAAAACAAAAAAAAATTAAGTAAAAAATCTTAGTTAAAAAAAAGAACTTCAAAACTTATAAGAAATTCTCTCTAGGCAAAGAATAAAATGTCATTTCTGACTAGACAGCTGAATACAATTCCCATCTATTTGCAGCATTTTGCAGATACAGAACATTAAAGAGTATAATTTTGTGTTTTGAGTTTTCTTTTGGTGTTAATGTGATTATAGAGCAAATATGAAAAATGGATCACCATTGGATTAATAGAGGAAAAATGATATAGTGGCCCTTATCTACCCTTCCAAATCATTACAACAGTAAAAATAAAGGATGAATGATACAAAAGGGAAGTTAGTTTATAAACTGGAGTTTCTTAAGACTTAAAAATAGATGAGAAGTTAAATCCAATTCTGTTACATTATAATTGTGGAACTTTTTCTTTAGATTTTTTTCATATTTCCATCTAGGAAAAAAGTGAAGGGGGCTAGAATACTAAAACAAATTTGTGCTTGTAATTAGTTGCAAAAACAAATAGTAAGAATACCAGCAATGAGTTTTCACTCGTAGAATACATATGCAGTTAAAAGAATAGCAAGGAGGATTTTTCTCCCCTCCATAACACCCCCACTTGCAATTTCTTTTTTAAAAGCAGAAGTTTAACTTAGAAACAAAGAGCTACATTCACTACATTGTTCTCATTTGAATTAGCCCTTCCTAGACCTCATCCTCTGACTGCAGAAAAAAGGAGATGTCCCTGCTGCTTTGCTTTCTTTCTTCTGGCATGGTTTTCCATTAGGATGAAAATAAGATCCAACGATATTTGACTTTGTGAAATAGTGTAAAATTATAAACTCCATAGTCATAATATTTTTAAATTCTTCAAAATGGAATATGAGTATCTTTTTTGTTTTTTCAGACAAGGTCTCACTATGTAGCCCAGGGTGAGCCTGGAACTCTGATATTCTTGCATGAGTCTCCCTGAGTTGCGGGCATTATAAGAATAAGTGACTAAGCCCATCTTATGACTGTATCTGTATATTTAACCTAAAGTTATATTTCAAGTGTACACTGGAACTGGAATTTGAATAAATATATTGGAAATGTCGAGACACTTCCAGAATTAAGAAGTCACTAAAGTCATACAGCCAAATAACTGTAGATTACCTTTTATAATTGTTTTCATAGCTTGATTTTGTTGATCTCTGATTTTTCTTTCATTTTTTTTTAGGTAGAACTAACACTTGCTTACAAATAACACAGAGGTAATGTATTTTTGCAATACAATGGCAATAGTAACCTTATATATTTTTTCTTTAAAAAAAACCCTCATTAATTCTAAGTGCTTTAAATATTTTGTTTTTAGAAATAATTTTATCACATGCTACTGGCAGTAACAAAGATCATTAGGAGGATGATCCCCAGCTGCTTAGACTTGTCTTTATTTAAATACTGAAGCCATGAATGCAGCATCACTTCAAATTCTAGTCAATTTTGATTCTGCCCAATCTCAGCAACACAATTATTTCATCACTGGAAAAGAACTTAAAAAAAAAAAAAAAAAAAGGAAACTTTTATAAAGTCATAATAAAAATTCCCAACATGTAACTCATTTCTTGAGTCCATGAGAGAAAATAGGAATAGGTGTCACTTGGGAAGAGTTAAGTTTGGTCCTCTGGGGTCAATTTCCAGGAGTGGCTTGGCTCATCACTAAGCAGGCACACAGCTTCACTGAGCAGATTTCTGATGGGGTGAATTTTTTTCGTCATATATAGCAATGCTGACTGGCATAAGAATGCATATTGTGGCAGGGGGGAGAAATGAACCAAGCCTTGTATGCACATATGAATAATAAAATAAAAATAAAAAAAAAAAAAGAATGCATATTGTCAAAGGGATTGTTGGGTTTTTTAAATATGTCATTAAGTAGGAAAGCACTAAATAGAGTTTATCCTTTCAACATAATGGCTTAATGAACTTCACCCTTGCACCGTAAGAAAACACAGCATTTTGGGAAAAAATACTTAATTGTGAAAAAGCCAATTCAGTGAAAATGACATGACAGCCTTCTTTTTGGAGATTGTGTATTGCTGACTGGAAACCTAGAACACATTTAAAACTAAACACATTGAGAATTTTGTTGTTGGTGGTTTTGTTGTTGTGGTGTTACTATTTCCACTCACCAGCTCGAAGGGGTCGTGGAACTCCCCCAACAAAGATAGTTTTTCTGGGGTCCAAAGGCTGAGAACCATCCATTACAAAGTCACTGTCACTTAGGTTCCATGGTCGAATTTGCACCTGAAAAAAAGTTGTTTACTTGGTCCTTACTTCATTTCCATCAACCCCAAATGAGAATAAGATGACTAAAGACAAACCCACTGATTGTGCATTTCACAATATACAAGACCCAAACAAAATCCAATTAGTTAATGCAATCTGCCTTAAGTGTCTTTCCACAGAACTCTTGGGGAAGCTACTCTAACTCTAGACATATACTATGAAATCTTCCCCATAAAACCACCTAAGATTTTTGTTTTTAAAGGCAGTGTTTTACAGGCAGATTCTGGGTTTTGGATCATATTCATTTTAAATATCATAGACTGTTTAAAACCCATCACAGTATACCATTTAGTTTTTTAGGAGCCACCTAAGGAAGGGAACAGAAACACCAGGAATATTTTCTAAAAATTTTCTGTGTGTCTGGATTGTCAATTCCATTACTCCCCCCAAATTAAAATATTTAATCTTTCAGCAATATGATTTAACACAGATTAACACTCATTAAGTTAGAAAAGAATTACCAAAGATATCAAATACTGAAGCATATAGCACATCATCTAATTTTAGTCTGATTTTCCTAAATGAGGTTGGTTAAATAAAGGAAAGCCTGGAAAGAAGTAAAATTTTAAAGAACAGAAAAAGAAACCTCCAGGTACATTTCTTTCTACTAGGTAATTTTTCCTTAACTAGTGCTTAAATAGGACTTTGACTTGCTGCCCACAGTTTATACAGAAAAAAAGGTACTTTATCAGTTTAATTTTAAAACATATTCCTTTTAATTATAACTCAATTACAAAGAATAGTTTAAAACAAAACAAAACAAAAAACTAAACCAACAAAACCAAAAACCTCTCTGACCCCAAGAGATGAGGATGGCACTGCCTGAAAACCAACCAGTCAGGCAGGTGAGTGGCCATGTGCTTTGGGAACCAGCTGTGTGCAGAAGGGGGACCTGCTATCTATCCTTAAGGAACATGCCTGTCCTCCTTCCCCTCCCAGATTGAAACAGGAAACAAAACAGCTCAATTTTCATTTTCTTAGCAAAGGCAGAATTCTTCATTTTCCCATTGCTCAAGTACCAGCACTTAACACAAGAAAGCACATAAGATATTTTCTTCTGTGGCTTAGCTCATTACACACAGGAATATTCCCACTTGCAATGCCAGCACTTCTGCCAATCCACACTTTCAAAACACTTTCATACTTTCTACTCTGAAACCTGTGTGGTCATTAGAAACAGTCTGCAATTCCTTAAGATTTCTATTAAATTCACTCCCCTGCTCCCAGTTTTGCCTTCTATGACACTGTGGCCCTCATCAGTCAGCCAAAAGCCACAAAATCTTATTTTCTTCTATAGATTCTGAAAACTTGGACTTATTTGCAATTCTGTTAACACTCAAGCATTTGCCCTGTCCTTTTTGCTCAAAAAAGAAAATCCAGTTCTTTTCTTATAAAATTTGATCTTGTTTGGCCACATCACACCAAATCATCCTTCACACAACAGCAGATTTACTAATACCATAAAGCACCACTTTTAAGTGCCTTCATGAGGGACCATTACTAACTTTTATTTAAAAATACAATAATTTCCTGATACCGTAAGAATGAAGATTCTACTGTCACAAATTAAAGAAAAAGGCAGCTTTAACCAGCTTCAATGATTAGGTGATTCTAATCATTACATTGACTTTAGTCATGGATCACTTTTGTCCCCCCTTAGGATGGAAGTGGGGTCTCTCACTATGTTGTCCAAGCTGGTTTTGAACTCCTAGACTCAAACAGTCTCCAGACATAGATATGAGCCACTGCACCTAGTTGGCCATGTATGGATCACTTTGTTTCAAAAATGAAAACATTTCCTGTGTAGTATCCATAGTGATCTGGTTTCAAAAGTACAGAAAACATAACCTCTGTATAGTTATAGACTCAAAAGTAGTTTGCAGAGATCTCAAACATTCCTGTTGAGAGCTTTCCTCATTGCCTTTTCTCCCCCCATCATGCCCTCCATCCCCACTTCATCACATCACACACAACCCATTCCTTTCCCCTATTCTTGGCATTACAGATTAGGTAAAAATACAGGAAGAGGGCTCAAGACGCAGTGCTGATTAACCCTATTCAGAAAATCCACACTTCCCAGCTGCTACCAGAAAACAGCTGCTCAGAGCTGCACCTCTGCAGAATTAAAGAAATGTCAACACAGGCCAACATCAGCACACTTCACACACTAAGCAAAAGTAATGTTGTGGTACTGTTTGTACCAAGAACTTCCACTCACACTTTGGTGTCACTCTAAAATATAAGCTCACTTTCACACACAGCATATTTCTTCATCTTCTTCATTTTATTTATTCTTGGACCTCAGAGCCTGACTCTGACGTTCTCTTTGTGGATGTACACTTTGGATATATATTTTTTTCTGGGCCTGATTTATTCACACACACACATACACACATGTCTTTATTCAATTATATCATACTTCATAAGCTGACTCAAATATTTTGTGGAAAGGGGTAGAGTATAAATAAAACAACTGTTTGTTGTTGCTGTTTTGAGATAGGGTCTTGTTATGAAGCCCAGGTCAGTTTTGAACTTGAAATCTTCCCACCTCAACTTCCATTTTTTTTTTTAATTTATTTATATGTGCATACAGTATTTGGGTCATTTCTCCCCCCTTCCCCCCTCCCGCCCCCTCACTCTCCCCCCCACCCTCTCGATACCCAGCAGAAATTATTAAGCCCTTATCTCTAATTTTGTTGAAGAGAGACTATAAGCAATAATAGGAAGGAACAAGGGTTTTTGCTAGTTGAGATAAGGGTAGCTATACAGGGAGTTGACTCCCATTGATTTCCTGTGCATGTGTATTACCTTCTAGGTTAATTCTTCTTGATCTAACCTTTTCTCTAGTTCCTGGTTCCCTTCTCCTATTGGCCTCAATTGCTTTAAGGTATCTGCTTTAGTTTCTTTGCGTTGAGGGCAACAAATGCTATCTAGTTTTTTAGGTGTCTTACCTATCCTCATACCTACCTTGTGTGCCCTCCCTTTATCATGTGATCAAAGTCCAATCCCCTTGTTGTGTTTGCCCTTGTTCTAATGTCCGCATATGAGGGAGAACATATGATTTTTGGTCTTTTGGGCCAGGCTAACCTCACTCAGAATCATGTTCTCCAATTCCATCCATTTACCAGTGAATTATAACATTTTGTCTTCTTCATGGCTGCATAAAATTCCATTGTGTATAAATACCACATTTTCTTAATCCATTCGTCAGCAGTGGGGCATCTTGGCTGTTTCCGTAACTTGGCTATTGTAAATAGTACTGCAATAAACATGGGTGTGCAGGTGCCTCTGGAGTAACCTGTGTCACAGTCTTTTGGGTATATCCCCAAGAGTGGTATTGCTGGATCAAATGGTAGATCAATGTTAGCTTTTTAAGTAGCCTCCAAATTTTTTTCCAGAGTGGTTGTACTAGTTTACATTCCCACCAACAGTGTAAGAGGGTTCCTTTTTCCCCGCATCCTCGCCAACACCTGTTGTTGGTGGTGTTGCTGATGATGGCTATTCTAACAGGGGTGAGGTGGAATCTTAGTGTGGTTTTAATTTGCATTTCCTTTATTGCTAGAGATGGTGAGCATTTTTTCATGTGTTTTTTGGCCATTTGAATTTCTTCTTTTGAGAAAGTTCTGTTTAGTTCACTTGCCCATTTCTTTATTGGTTCATTAGTTTCGGGAGAATTTAGTTTTTTAAGTTCCCTATATATTCTGGTTATCAGTCCTTTGATGTATAGTTGGCAAATATTTTCTCCCACTCTGTGGGTGTTCTCTTCAGTTTAGAGACCATTTCTTTTGTTGAGAAGAAGCTTTTAGTTTTATGAAGTCCCATTTATCTATGCTATCTCTTAGTTGCTGTGCTTCTGGGGTTTCATTGAGAAAGTTCTTACCTATACCTACTAACTCCAGAGTATTTCCTACTCTTTCCTGTATCAACTTTAGAGTTTGTGGTCTGATATTAAGATCCTTGATCCATTTTGAGTTAATATTGGTATAGGGTGATATACATGGATCTAGTTTCAGTTTTTTGCAGACTGCTAACCAGTTTTCCCAGCAGTTCTTGTTGAAGAGGCTGTCTTTTTGCCATCGTATATTTTTAGCACCTTTGTCAAAGACAAGTTGGTTATAGTGTGTGGCTTCATATCTGGGTCCTCTATTCTGTTCCACTGGTCTTCATGTCTGTTTTTGTGCCAGTACCATGCTGTTTTTATCGTTATTGCTTTGTAATATAGTTTGAAGTCGGGTATCGCGATACCTCCAGCATTGTTCTTTTGACTGAGTATTGCCTTGGCTATTCGTGGCCTCTTGTGTTTCCATATAAATTTAACGGTAGATTTTTTCAATCTCTTTAGTGAATGTCATTGGAATTTTGATGGGAATTGCATTAAGCATGAAGATTACTTTTGGGAGTATAGACATTTTTACTATGTTGATTCTACCAATCCATGAGCATGGGAGATCTCTCCACTTTCTATAGTCTTCCTCAATCTCTTTCTTCAGAAGTTTATAGTTTTCCTTGTAGACCACCTCAACTTCCTGAGTGGTGGAATTACAGACATGTACCACCACATCCAGAACTGCTTTTTAATTATCTTTGCTTAATAATTATTTTTGAGAATGGAGAAAATTAGAACTCTATCCTAATTCAATACAAATTTCCATGGCAATAGCAGTTTTACATATATAGGTATAACATTGTGTGTGTGTGTGTGTGAGAGAGAGAGAGAGAGAGAGACAAAGAGAGAAAGACTCATCCAATATGTTGCGAAAGAGGCTATATTCTAAAGAGAAAAGGCCTCTGCACCTAGAGGACAAGTGTAGGGATATCATGCAGAAATAGTGAAGAGTTCCTTAAATGAACATGACATGAGTCTAGCACTCCTTGGAGTAACCAATCACATTTGCTTGTAAAAGTGACTCTAGGAAGAGGTACTGCAAAATCATTTGGGAAGCATCAGCCCTTTGGCC